CCTGTGAATTCACCTTTAAAAAAGAGTGAGAGGGGAAACAAAAGGAAGAATGCTCTGTACTCACTGACGCAACTTCCAGGGTTTGCTTGTTTGGTGTAACGAAATGGAAGGCGAGAGGGAGAGTCGCAGCTGCTTCCCAGATGTTCAGCTTCTCGTCATGAATTTTTTGCTTCAGGAATCTGAACGTGTCAGTAGCTCCAGCAGCACAGATGGCGCTTAGGAACCAAGGCCTGCCAGGGAGAGGAGGATTCATTATCTCCATTGCCCAATATGTCTCTGATCAGAATCTCTGGCCGAAGGCAATAGTTACCTGTAGGAAAGTTCATTGACAAACTGCAACCATAAAGCCTCAATTTGATCAAGGGTCGCTACACGAAAAAGCTGGACCATTTGTAAGAACTTGGCTGAAGCTTCTTTAGTGTCTCCTTTCTCGTTATTCTGAACTAATTGCCTCAGCGTTTCTGTTAACTGTGGGAAAAACGGACTGTTGGAAATATCCATGTCTAAAATAATGATATGATGACCTGTTAACCTTATAAATAATGAAAGTGTGTGAAAGTAAGCCTCTATTACCTGTAAATCTGGATTTTTAATCCTTATTAGAGGAATTGGCATCTGGAGTAGTTCTCCTGAGAAATGATAACGAAGACTCCCTTGGTTTTGCAGCTGAGTTTTTGGTGCACTGATAGGAGTCCTTTTAACGCCGACCAAAGACAGTTCTTGTCTTCAAAGGAAAGAGGGAAATGCATCAGTAGCCTGTAGTGGCACTCTGTGTGTGAAGGACTTGTACAGTGTTGGAGCAGACTGAGGGGTGCTCAGGCAGGACTGTTGCATCGACCGCAAATGGATCATGCACTTCTCTGTTTATCCATTGCTCAGGATTATCTGGAAAAGTCATGTTACTGCAGGAGCTTTTAGGAGAGTCTGCCAAAGTCTCTGAGAGGTTGGACACATGTTTCAGTGGCCCAAAAAGCAGGGCAGAGCACCTGACTGGGCATCCCAAGGGCTGTATGACAGGGCAGATCTTTCTTGTTATCTCACAAATCAACAGTAAATATGTTTTAGCCATCTCCTCCTGCTATGATAACCTAAGGATGTGCCCAGTGCCTACCTTGCCTCCATGACTGCTGCCGCGTTGGGTTCATTGAAGGGAGAGATCTGGTACACCTGCTCAGAGGTAGCAGACATCAACGATACCCCGCTATCATCATACTTCATCTTGTAAGTGAACATCACCGTGCCCTTAATGTTTCTGACTTTCTAGAAGTGCAAAGAGACCCACTCAGAAATAGGAACGGGCTAGTAGCACAGACAAGCCAAACTCCCTGTGAGCATTGGTGCAATGTGTGACTGTTGAGCAGTGGCTCGGGGATCCCTGCTGCTCGTACCGGGGAGCAGGTAGGGCAGGGGCGGATGTATGACATTCCCACATTTTTCACTGCTTTCTCCTGGCAGTTCGTCAGGTCCTTGCTTTTGGAAATGGTGGCCCAGTGACTCTTGCTGTCATCCTGGATAATGTATCTGGTTTGGCAGATGCCTTCAATCCCAGCCTGCAAGTATTGATTAAACACAGTAAACTTCCCACTTGAAATAGCAATAAGAAGGTCTAAGAAAAGGGTCTGTGAGGTGTACGTATAGGCAACTTACTCTATAATGATAAAATGAGAATAAAAGTAAAATCAGAATGGAAAAAACAAACCTCCTGTAGTT